CATAGTAACTTATCGAGCTGAGCTCTGATTCTTGCTTTGTTCCTCATTGTCTTGCACTCTTATGTATCCAATGATTACTGCTCTGATTCTTTCTTTTCATTCATATGCTTAATTCCTCGCTGCTACCAACTAAGGGCGTGTTTGGTTCACTTCCCAGCCCAGCCTGGCTCGCATCAGCCAGCCAGGCCCCCTTTGGCTAGGCTGAGCGCATGCAAGGGGTGGTTGTTTGGTTGGTTGGCTCCCAGCAGCCTGGTCACATGCAGCCGGTGTTTGGTTCCCTGAACCTGCATCGGATTCAAATTAAGAGGATGCAGGAACCATGTTTGGTTGCCTGCATAGAAGCTGGTGGAGTTACCACTTTGTTTTAGTGGTAAGGTTACCACCAACAAGTCCAAAGTTTGCTACAACACTTTGTTTGCAATGAATATTACATCATTTTGGAAAGCTAAATTAAAATTACTAAAGCCCGGACTAATATTATTACACCCTCCACTAAAATTATAATATCCTCTCAGTTGTGACCTTCCTTCTTTGCAATGCATACCGCATGCTCCACTACGAACATGCCATCGGCTTCATTTTTTCTTCAGCTTTTAGACCATGGAATGACAAACAAAAAATTAAAGTTCATCAATGACATAAGGCATGTGCTCAGTATAATAAACCAAAACATCATTGGCATAAGACATGTGCACAGTATATATAAAAAAAACCTCATCATTGGCACAAGGCATGTGCTTAGTTTTAAAAAACGTCATCATTGGCATTAGACAAAAGCTCATATTGAAATGGTCACATCATTGGCAAACAAGATCAGATTAGTTCTCAGATCATCAAGTTCACATCAATGTCAACACAGGCAAAAAGAGATGCACCAGCTAGGTAAAGAATGCAGCTCGGTATAAGAAAACAAGCATCACAGGCAATGGACATGTGCTCAGATATAAGAAAACAAACATCACAGGCAATAAGGCAAGTGCTCAGAATGAAATTGTGCAAATCACAGGCACAGGCTGGTGCCCATATCAAGTTCAGAACCACAAGGTTCACATCATTGGCAATGGACTCATGGTCAGATTGCCACCACTAGGTTGATCTAGGTTGTAGGTGCAGGGTTATCTAAGACACTAACTATATGTTAGTGTTAGTAAGTAAGCTATGCAGGATCAGATCAACTGCACAAAAGAGAAGGTCAACCCACTACACATCTCTTGTCTAAGTTCACCAATAGCATACAACACATCTTTAAAATGGCGGTGGACTGTCTCTATAGACCTTCTCCAATTTTGCTTTACAACTCTAAATCGTTGGTTATGACCAACAATATGGAGAAACATTGCAACTTGCTCTTCAACACAAGAATTTATGTTGTCAGCAAGTAGCTTCTTGTCTCTAAGCAAGTTGCACAAACTAAAAAAGGGTGCCCTTCTCATTCTAAGCATGTTCACACACTCTATATCATTGTAGTTGTAAATTAAGTTCAAGTTCCTTTGGCACTCCTCATCCCTAATGCTCATTGGACCATAACTGATCTGAGGCCGCTGACTCTGAAGCATTCTAAGTCTAGCAAACAGCAGGGCATACATAGCAGTGATAAGAGCAGCAGCACGAGCAAAAAGAATATGTCTCTTCTCTTCCAAGTCCATCTAGAAAAAATGAATGGAATTTAAGGATAAATGCTTAGAATGACAATGTCATCATCATGGACTTGGACAAAAGCTCAGATCAAGGATTCATCATATACTAGAACATGCTAAAAATAAGACTTTCATCATCACAGACTAGGGCAATAGCTCAGAAAAAGGCATCATCATAGACTAAGGCAATAGCTCAGGACAAAAGGAATCATCACAGACTTGGACAATAGCTCAGACAAAATGATAATTTCATATACTTGCTCATAATCTCACAAAGTAGGACATGCATCCGAATCCAAGAACGCAGGACTCACTATCGCACGGTACAGATTAGGGGGAGGCGAGAGGGGGAGTAGATATACAAAATACCCACGTCAACAAGCAGCAGCACCAGCAAAAGCCCAACCCAGCAGGTGAGGGAGCTCAGATCTGCAAGCACACAAGCAAAGAAAAGAGGATTAGCATACACAAAATAGGATTTTTACTTGAAAAAAATAAGAAAAAAAAATGAGACCTAAGAACAAGGATCCATACCGCAATAACAGCCAAGAAATCAGATCTAGTGTGCCTGCAGCGAGATCAACAAACAATGGTGACCTAGGGTTTCAAATCGCACAGAAAAAATGGAGAAAGAGAAGGGGAAAAACTCACTTGCTTCGAGAGGATGCAAATCCACGGCACCTGCAACAAATCGAGAGAGAGGGTAGGCATTAGGAGGCCACGAATCCATCAAGAACACCGGGGGGAGGAGGAAGAGGAGGAAGAGGAGGTGGAGCTTACCGGCGGCGCAGACGGGGAGCGACAAGAAGAAGAAGAGAGGGAGGTGGCGGGAGGGAAGATATATAGAGGCGGTGAATGGCGGGAACGGGGGAGGTAACCCTAGGATCTTCAAGCCATCATCTCCCACAAGACGGAATCGCCAGCGCCAGCCTTGCTCATGGGAGCACGGAGCGAGCCAAACTGAAGAAAAACGGCCGATTTGGGCGTTCCTCGCGAGCCAGGCCAGGAGGGGGCTTTTGCACGAGCGGAGCCTGGTTCGGGAGGGTGGCCAGGGAACCAAACATGAGCAGGCTGTATCCCGGGAGCCTGGTTTGCCCTTATGTGGGCAACCAAACACACCCTAAAGGTGTCTATGTTCTATACTGGGATCAACAGTGACCCCTCAGCTCTGAACTGCTGCTACCAACTAAAGTTGTCTGTTTTCAGTTCTCATGTGATCACTTTGTTTAATTCCATATAGAAATAGACAGGTTAATGACAAGTTTCTTTTAAGACAGAGAAAACTGATCACTGTCTCCTTGATTAATCAATCAAATCAAATCTCGGTTTTTCTATGGCTGCCATGCTTTTGAGAGTTGAATGAAAATATTCTAATTCATCTTGGTTTATTTAGTTGCCATGATTTTATCATATCTGAAATGTCAGTTGGTAGACGGTAGGAGTACGAGACAACAGACATGGCATCGACGGTTGCCGGCTGGTGTCATCAGACCTTCAGTTACAGCGTTAGAACTCAATTTCACTTGGAAAAATAAAAATTACTCACGCGCTTTTTTAGGTTATTATTATAGTATGCCTGATTTGAATTATATAACAAGTTGTGACGGCACTTGTAGATTGTCAGTATGCCTGATTTGAATTATATATATATATATATATATATATATATATATATATATATATATATATATATATGTGTGTGTTCTGGTTGAATTTGAATTATAAATTTGAATTTTTTTAGCGGAAAAATGTACTGTAGGGGCGGTTGGTACTGTAGCCGCCCCTACAAATCGATTTGTAGAGGCGGCTGGTGTTATCAGCCGCCCCAACAAATCGATTTGTAGGGGCGGCTACAGTACCAACCGCCCCTACAAATCGATTTGTAAGGGCGGTCTGGGAACCGCCCTTACAAATGCATGATTTGTAGAGACGGTATGGTAGGGGCGACTGACTGAGCCGCCTCTACAAAATATCTGAAGCCACCCCTACAAAGCGTTTTTCACGTAGTGAGTGGAATCATCGTAACCACTAGGATACAGAATGTGGCCAAAGCATGCAGTCCTTCTATAGGTGGACAAGATCACATCCATCAAATGGAAGCTCTCAATTCTGATGCTTCCAAGAGTTTGTTCGTCCGCAGAACATTTGGCAACAAGGGTTGCCCAACGGAGCTTGAAGACGTGATGGGCAAGATATTGAAAAGATTGTTAGATAATCCAAGCTCATTTGCTCCACTGTATCTCGGTCTTAGCTAAGTTTAGCTTGAGCCTGGTGTTGACCGAACCAGGAGCGTCTGTACTTGGCCTGATGCATGCTGCGTTCATGCAGAGGCTACCCTTGTTTGTAGGATCGATGGAGGAGTGGTGCTCGTTATGCTCTACTTTGTGGGATGGCACGAGCCACCGGAGAACGTGGTGTGCGCCCGGTAGAAGTGGAGGCGGCTTACTCGGTCCAGTCGTGGGATGGCGTGGCAATGGCAGAGCGAGGAAGTCGCAGCGTTGTGGCCAATCGTGGCCTGTGTTTTAGAGTCCTGTAATCATCTTTTTATACCAGTAATAGAGTCCAGAAAAGCTACGGTTGTAAGCGGCACCAAAACAGTTTGTGTTCCACTGTGTTCGCGTGCGTTCGTTCTTGTGTTCCAGAGTGTGCCGGCCATCTTCCTCGTCTCCAGCGACGGGCGCCGGCAAGGTAGAGCCAACAACTAGTATCGGAGCGAGGTTCCGGCTGTGGACACGCGACCGCGCGATCGCTGCTGCGTTCATGGATCGGCGGAGGAATCATTCATCATCGCCGCTGCGGGGAAGCGGCGGCAGGAGCGGTTCAAGCACTGGCGCCAGGGGAGATCGCAGCCTGGTGATCAACCGGGTCGTACGTGATGGGGGAAAGGACAAGTATCCTCTCCTCACCAAGTCCAACTACTACTCATGGGCGGCCCTCATGAAGCTCAAGCTCCAGGCGCGGGGCTGGTGGGAGGCGGTGACCGTCGGAACCACCGACTTCATCGAGGATCGCAACGCCCTGGAGGCCATAGCGCTTGGCCTCCCAGAGGAGCTACACGGCAACATCACCAGGAGAGCCACCGCCAAGGACGCGTGGGAGTCCCTAAAGAAGATGCACCTCGGGGTGGATCGTGTGCACCAGGCGAAGGCGAACATGCTGCGCCGCCAGTTCTAAGATCTCAAGTTCAAGGACGAGGAGACGGTGGACGAGTTCAGCGTCCGCATCAGCGACCTCGCAAATCAACTTGAGGTGCTCGACGTGGCGTACTCGGAGCCGGAGATCATCCGCAAGTTCCTGCAAGCCACTCCGCAGAGGTATGCACAGATTGTGATGGCCATTGAGACCCTGTTCGACCTCGACCAGATGTCTATAGAGGAGTTGATTGGGAGACTCAAGGTGGCCGAGGAGCAGTACGGCCTCAACGGCGGTGGGGGAGGTGGCTCTCTGGCGCGCCTGAACCTCACCGAGGATGAGCTGGTCACACGCATCACGGCGCGGCTGTAGCTCTCGAGTGAGGGCTCGGGTGGCGACAACGGGAGGTCATCCTCATCATCAAGCCAGCGCCGTGGGCGCGGTGGCCGTGGCCGCAATGGAGGTCGTGGTGGCGGTTCTAGACCACCCGCCGGCGGCAACGGTGGCGCTGGTGGCAACAAGATGAAGGGTCGGCCGCTCGCCGACGACGAGTGTGCCTACTGCGGCAAAACGGGTCACTGGGCCCACGAATGCCTCAAGAAGAAGAGGGACGAGGTGGCGCATGCCGCTCAGGCCAAAGAGGAGGCTGCGCTCAACCTCGTTGTAACGTCGCTTGACGCCGAGGAGACTCCGAGGGAGCTATGCACAATCCTAGAGGATGAGGAAGGCACGGCGCAGGCGCGCTGGGTGTTCGAGGAGGGAGACTCACACCCTTCGCCGTTCACCCGTCTAGTGGTGAACTGGGTCCTGGAGGAGGACAGCGCCCCGACGCCATTCGTGGGTGTGATCACGGCGAGTATCACCAAGCCGGAGGCGGTCCATATCCGTGAAGACAAGCTGTTCGTGTAGCTCGGCGAGAAGACTGAAGGGGGGAGCACTCGCTGGATCCTCGACATGGGAGCCATGAACCACATGACTGGCGAGCGCTCCGTCTTCTCCGAGCTGGACACCGGTGTGCACGGGACCGTCCGGTTCGGGGATGGCTCCACCGTGGCGATTGAAGGGCGCGGCACGATCCTCTTCAAGCTCAAGAGCGGGGAGCACCGGGAGCTGGCCGAGGTCTACTACATCCTGAGGCTCACGACAAACATTGTTAGCCTCGGCCAGCTCGACGAGGACGAGTACAAGGTCCTCATCGAACACGGCGTTCTGAGGATATGGGATCAACGCCGGTGTCTACAAGCCAAGGTACCCCGTTCTGCGAACCGCTTGTACATGCTAAACCTCATGATCGACCGGCCAGTGTGCCTTGCCACACGGTGTTCCAAGGTGGCATGGCAGTGGCACGCCAGGTTCGGGCACTTGAGCTTTCAGGGGTTAAAGGAGCTGTCCAAGGGGCAGATGGTGCGAGGGCTGCCACAGATCGACCACATTGAGCAAATCTATGACAGCTGCATGGCGGGCAAGCAACGGCGCCATCCATTCCCAGCGTCGAGCAACTACCGCGCCAAGAAACTGCTCGACCTGGTCCATGCGGACCTATGTGGGCCGGTCACACCGGAGACGTCGGGTGGCAACCGACTGTTCCTCCTCACCGTCGACGACAAGAGCTGCTACATGTGGCTAGTGCTCCTGAGCTCGAAGGACCAAGCAGCGGACACGATCAAGCGCCTCCAAGCGCGCGCTGAAGCTGAAGCGGGGCACAAACTCGACACGCTGCGTACCGATCGCGGCGGCGAGTTCACATCGCGCGTGTTCGGGGAGTACTGCGCCATGGAGGGCATCCAACGTCATCTCACCGCGCCGTATATGCCGCAACAAAACGGCGTGGTGGAGAGGCGCAACCAAACCGTGCTGGGCATGGCGCGCAGCATGCTGAAGGCAATGCGGATGCCTGGCTGGTTTTGGGGGGAGGCTGTGCTCACGGCCGTCTTCATCCTGAACAGATTGCCGACGAGGAGCCTGGAGGGGATCACTCCGTTTGAAGCCTGGTATGGTTCAAAACCACTTGTGCACTTCCTACGAACGTTTGGTTGTGTTGCACACGTGAAGGTTGTCGGCGGTCATCTCAAGAAACTCGATGACCGGAGCACTCCCATGGTGTTCATCGGCTATGAAGTGGGAACCAAGGCGTACAGGTTCTATAATCCTGTGTCCAAGCGAGTGCATATCTCGCTGGATGCGGTGTTTGATGAAGGCAGGGCGTGGGACTGGACGGAGCGCGACGGCGGCGTTCACACGGCGGACTGTGAACCGTTCCACGTCGAGTACACGACGGTGATGGTTCGCCGCGGTGATCCAGCTGAGCTGCCGCAAGGAGGCAGCAGCCCAGGCAGTCCGGTGCCCAGTGGTGGGACGCCGGTCATGCCTGGAATGACTACGGCGAGCAAGAGCACGCCAGGCGGCGCGCACGGGAGCGGCGCGAGCACGCCGGGCGACGTGCACGGAAGCAGCGCACCAGGAACACCTGCATCACCTGCGCCAACCCCTCAAGTGGAGTTCGCAGCACCTCCCTCCGGTGCCCTGGACCTCGACGATGATGATGATGACGTTCCACTTCGGTTCTGCACACTCGACAATGTGCTGGGACTAGCTGAGGTACCGAACACGGTAGAGCAGGTGTTCGAGGTCGACGAGGACCTGCTCCTGGCCGTGGGAGAAGAGCTGGCGACATTCGAGGAAGCCCGGCGGGAGGAGTGCTGGCGCCAGGCGATGAAGGAGGAGATGGCCTCCATCGAGCAGAACAGGACATGGAAGCTCATGAACCTTCCCCATGGCCATTGCCCAATTGGCTTGAAATGGGTGTTCAAGGTGAAACGTGATGAGGCGAGCGCCATTGTCAAGCACAAAGCTCGCCTTGTTGCCAAGGGCTACGTCCAGCAAGAGGGAGTTGATTTCGATGAGGTGTTCACTCTAGTTGCTCGGATGGAGTCCATTCGGATGCTGCTCGCTGTGGCTGCGCAGGAGGGCTGGCTTGTCCATCATATGGATGTCAAGTCGGTGTTCCTCAATGGAGAGCTGCAGGAGGAGGTATATGCCCGGCAGCCGCCGGGTTTTGTCGCTACAGGGTACGAAGGCAAGGTGCTGAAGCTGCAGAAGGCCCTGTACGGGCTTCGTCGGGCGCCGCGGGCATGGAACATGAAGCTTGACGCCAGCCTGCGCAAGCTCAAGTTCAAGCGCTGTGTCAGTGAGCACGGCATGTACACACGCAGCGCCGGTAAGACAAGAGTGGTGGTGGGCGTCTATGTAGACGACCTGATCATCATAGGAGCAAGCCCGGAGGACGTCAATGCGTTCAAGGAGGAGATGCGCCGCTCTTCTTTCGGATGAGTGATCTCGGCTGCCTTTCTTTATTACCTCGGCATAGAGGTGAAGCGGGGCGGAGTGCGATCACGTTAGGGCAAGCGATGTCTGCGCCAAGAAGCTCTTGGAGAAGGCGGGCACGGCTTCCTACAATCCATACTCAACGCCCATGGAGGTCCGCCTCAAGCTATCCACCAAAAGCACGACGCGGAGGTGGACGCGATGATGTACCACACCGGTGGGAAGCTTTGGAGGTACTTGGTGCATACACGGCCCGACATTGCCTTTCTTGGTGGGCTACGTCGGTCGCTTCATGGAGAAGCCCGGCAAGAGCACCTCGTCGCCGCTCAAGCACCTCTTTGTTACATCGCAGAACGATCGACTACGGCCTCGTCTACCCCAAAGTCATCAGCGGCGACAACAACTGATCGGCTCACGATGATGCGGCGACATGGGTGGGGACGTTGATGAGAGGAGATGCACCGCAGCGTCTTTGTTCTTTTCGGGCGACAAGCCACCACATGGCAGTCCCGAAGCAAAAAGGGGCACTTTTTCAACTGCGGCGCGAGTACATGGCCGAGCAGGTGGGCATGCCAGTAGTGTGGCTCGTCCGGTTCTTTGGCGACATCACCGGCGATGTCGTTCGACCACTGTCTTGAAAGATGGACAATCAGTCCGCAATCGCCCTAAGCAAGAATCCGTCCTCCATGACCGCGAGAAGCATATTGACACAAAATTTCATTTCATACGCGAGTGTGTTGAAAGCGGGAAGATCTGCGTGGACTATGCAAGTACCCAGGAGCAACTTGCTGATGTCTTGACAAAGGCCCTAGGGCGCACGAGGTTCTGTGAGCTTCGTGAATAGGTGGGTGTTGTCAAATTGAAATGAGCATGAATTATGGGGAGATTGTTAGATAATCCAAGCTCATTTGCTCCACTGTATCTCGGTCTTAGCTAAGTTTAGCTTGAGCACAGTGTTGACCGAACCAGAGCGTCTCAGATTGGCTTTGATGCATCTTTGCATTCATGCAGAGAGGCTACCCTTGTTTGTAGGATCGATGAGGGAGTGGTGCTCGTTATGCTCTCGCCTGTGGGATGGCACATGCCATCGGAGAACGTTATGCGCGCCCGGTAGAAGTGGAGGCGGCTTACTCGGTCCATCGTGGGATGGCGCGGCAATGGCGGAGTGGGGAAGTCGCAAAGCATTGTGGCCAATCGTGGCTGTGTTTTAGAGTCCTGTAATCATCTTTTTATACCAGTAATAGAGTCCAGAAAAGCTGCGGTTGTAAGCGGCACCAAAACAGTTTGTGTTCCACTGTGTTCGCGTGCGTTCGTTCTTGTGTTCCAGAGTGTGCCGGCCATCTTCCTCGTCTCCAGCGACGGGCGCGGCGAGAGGTAGAGCCAACAAAGATGTGCTGGCCTACCATTGGCTATCGTTAGCATTGCTAGCGTCTTGGCTGCCTATACATCACTGGGAAGCATTGAAAAGTGAGAATCAGTCTACAGATCAATTGGTTCTCAGATGGAGAGCCACCCTACCCTGGAAGGGATGAGGCAGATAGTCACGCTCAGCTACAATCATCTGACGCACGAGCTCAAGAGTTGCATGATGTACCTTAGCATCTTCCCAGAGGATTATGAGATTGAAAAGTATCGGCTTTTGTGCAGATGGATCGCTGAAGGACTGGTTATGGAGAAGCGGGGCTTCACCCCGATTGAGGTTGTAGAATCCTACCTAGATGAGCTGGTGAGCAGGAACATGATTCAAATCCAAGTCAGTTTTTACTACTACTAGACAGAGGAGACGTGTCGTGTGGAAAAAAAAGTCCCTAGAGTGCAACTTCGTCAGCCTGATAGGAGGGCAGTATGCTGGGATGTCGTATGACAGGATTCATCGCCTCTCCATCCATGGGGCGACCACAAACTATGGCTAGAGGTAGAAGAAGGGAGGGAGAACAGAGCACACACACAGCACAACCACCAGCATTGGCCGGAGCTCTGCAGATGAGATGGCAAAACTGAACTCGCTCTCTTTACTGAGTTGCAGTGGCAAACTATATATACAACTCTACCCATCTAATCCTAATACACAGAGATGTTAGGCTACCATGCTGCTATAGTGACTAGATATGACAGCAGGACTGACTTTGGCGCATGCCCTTGCTGTCATCTTCTTCAGCTCCATGAACCAAAGACGGGCGAGCGGCTTGGTGAGGACGTCCGCGAGTTGCCGACCAGTTTCGACGAACGCGATGACGATCTGTCCTCCATCGATACAGTCCCTGAGAAAGTGGAACTTGATGTCGATGTGCTTGCTCCGGTCGTGGTGAACCGAATTCTTCACGAGGGCGATGGCGAGCTGGTTGTCCACTATCAGTGTTGGTGGGTGAGTTTCCACACCGGTCATATCGTCCAGCAGTCGGTGCAGCCACATAGCTTGGCACACCGCTGTGGCCGCCGCCACGTACTTTGCCTCGCACGTGGACAGTGCCACCACCTTCTGTTTCAGCGACAGCCATGAGATTGGAGCCGACCCAAGGAAAACGAGCACACTAGCGGTGCTCCGCCATCCATCGATGTCCCCCACCATGTCTGCATCGCTGAAC